TATTACCATATTCTTCACCAATCACCAGAATTGGTGCATAGGTTTTATCGAGACACAAGTTTTCTAAGCAGGCCAGATGTGAATGGAAATATGACAACAGTGACAACAATGAAAGTAAGAAGCTTTGTAATGCTCATTCTTGAGCTGTATGAGAACATACTGGTTATTTGTACCCTTAAATTTAATCGCTTGCTAGAAGGGGAAAAAAATGTAGTGCAACCTCAGGCTTTTAGTCTATTTCCGTTCTTTCTTTTTAATTAAACTTACCTGTGATACAAATTGAATGATTATATTGTTGATTGCTTTGATGTAGGCAATCAAGGAGAAGATTCTGTCACTGAATTATGAAGACCATATGGCAGAGATTGAAACTGCAGATGCACAGGATTCGTATGAGAAAGGGGTGATTGTATTGGTAACTAGGTGTTTAATTGCTAAGGATAATGTGAGAAAGAATTTCACACAAACATTCTTTCTGGCTCCACAAGACAACAGCTACTTTATCTTCAGCGATGTTTTTAGATATATTGGAGACGGTAAGAGCAAGATTAATTCTGTGCCAGCTAATGGCATCAATGAAAATACCTCACCATCTGCCTTGGCACCTGAACTAGGTTTGGGATCATGATGTATTATTCAACTCTATAATTTGCTTTAGATACAAAACTTAAGCATTTTTGCAGTGCAGGGACAGTATTGAGTTTTATTTTCTGTACAATGAGTCTTTTTTTTTTGGGTTAATATGATTCTATTTGTGGATGAAGGCTACTTGCATTATTACCTTTATACTGAATTAAAGGCTCAAAATGATAAAAGGGAATTCAATGATTTTTGAAGGAATCCTTTAAGAGAAAGTGATATGTGAGTAATTTTTTATTATTTATTATTTTTATTTTTTCACAATTTGTGAGTTCTAAAATGGTTGTATTGTATTGTATTTCTGGGCTAATTTTGGATTCAGAAGGGTATACAACTCTTTAATGTTATCATCTATTTCTGGTTATCGGGATATTTTATTTTCACTTTGTTTATCACATTTCAGTGAAAATGGCCACGAATGATGACTGTATTGTTTGTGCTGACACCCTCAAGTGGGTTGCCTATGGGGCTTGTGGCCATAAGGAGGTCTGCTCTACCTGTGTCATTCATCTTCGACTTGTTTGTGAAGATCGCAGATGCTGCCTCTGCAAATGTGAATCAAATATCATCTTTGTTACTAGAGTTAGTGACGTTTCCAGTGTTTTCAACTACAATTTTTTTTTTTTAAAGATTTCAGCAAGTAGTAATTTTGACACCCTGAAATTCTGTAAATTCTATTATTAGATAAAGTGTTTCATTCTCCGTTAGTCTAATTGTGAATTTTCATTGATAGTCTGCTTTATGCCATATAATAATGGATGTATTTTCTTTTAGCTCCTATTGGAGTCCCTCTTAACTCTTAGACCTTTCAATATATTTATTTTTTAGTTTCTTTTTTAGTTTCTACCTCATTTCAGACAATTAGTTGCTATGTTTTGCTGCCTTACGGTATTTTATTGCATTGAGGTTATAAATTGCTTCCTCCTCTTTCATCAATCTATCCTTCAGATAGCAGTAAGCTTTCTGTATCGACAGAGTTATTAGCAGAATCATGAGGGTGGGGGACACGGTTCTCTTCTTGATTCACCAAACACTCTAATTTCATCACTAACTCAGACTAGTCTAGCAATAGGTCATACAGAGAGGTTTCACAATACTTCAACAAGTACCCAAGTAGTTACCAGTGATTCAGGAACTCGTAATGTTAATTCAATTTTTGGTCCCTTTTCGTCATTAGCAACCATAGATTCTCAGCCATCGTCAGGAGATTGTAAATAACACAATTGTTACTGATGCATTGATGATCAAAGATTCAACACAAACTAAAAACTAGTAGTAGTCTTAGTCTTACAGAAAAAAGGTTGATTCAATAGAGAGAGTTAAAGTTGCAAATTCATGGTTACCTTTGCCGAGAAAAGAGAAGGTAGAAAAGGAAGTGCCTGGAACCAATTTGGTAACCCACTTATTTGAAGAGTCTTGAATCTGTTTTCC